TTCAAGCAAAGAATAGCTCAAGTTTGTGCGAGAATAGGGACAACAATCCCAAGGACCTCAGGAAGCAGTTTCCAAACCCGAAGTTGGTTAACAACAAGCTCCACCCCCACTTCCTCCACCATCGCAAGTCATTCACATGATAAGTGATGGGCTAAAAGCGAGAGCGATGAGCTCTAAATAGAAAAGCTATATGTAAGAGAGGTCAAGCATCAGAACCGAGCTCAGAAAAGGAAGTTTGATGATAAGGAATGGAAGAACCAACTTATAACATTTACTTCGACTAACCTTGATGGTGTTGTCACACCACACAATGTCCCGCTAGTCACCTCAGTCATCGTCAACAATTGTGAAGTCCAACGTGTCCTTATCGACACCGGAAGTGCTTCTGATATGATGTATTAACACGGCTTTGAGAGCCTCGGCCTTAATCCAACTCTCTTGTAGAAGTATGATGGCCCTATCTATGGGTTCAACAAATCAACCAGTCCTTATTGAAGGAGTGTTGAAGCTCAACGTAGCCTTTGATTTAGGTCGGACATATGTGACCCCTTCTGTTCAGTTCTTGGTTGTGAAGATGGCATCATCTTCAACATTGTTATCGAAAGACCTACTCTAACCAAAATCTGAGTTGTCATTTCGCAATCCCACTTGCGCATGAAATTTCCTACACTCATAGGAGTGGCAACTTTAAAAGGCAACGAAGAGATAGCCAAACATTACTATATGACCTCTGTTACTCGACCACAGAAGGATAAGAAGGGATCACTGCTATTGGAGCCAGCTCAACCAAAGACCCCAAGTAACTAACAACTGATAGGTGTGGAACTACTAGATAACTGACCTGACAATGAGGCCAGGGCTACTATAGTCAAACAATTGGAAGAGGTGCAAATTGATGACGATGATCCCATCAAAAAAATGCAAATCAAAACAAAGCTGAGCTCGAAGGAAAGGGAAGAGATCATAAACTTCTTGAAGGCAAACAATGATGCATTTGCATGGACGTTAGCTGACATGCCTGGAATTTCAACTTCAGTTGCAACACACAAGCTAAGCACCAATCCCTTGAAAAAACCAATAGCTTAGAAAAGATGTTTGTTTAGAGGGTAGAGGCTTCAAGCCATTAAGGAGGAGGTGCAAAAGCTCTTGCATGCTGAATTTGTAAGAAGGGTGGACTACTGTTAATGGGTCACCAATCCTATTCTGTTGAAGAAGTCCAACGACAAATGGAGAATGTGCATCGACTAGACCAATCTTAATGACGCTTGTCCAAAGGACTGCTACGTCATGCAAGCATAGATAAGCTAGTAGAAATTACATCTGGAAATGAAAGACTCAGCCTCTTAGATGCTTACTCAAGGTACCATCAGGTCCACATGGCACCCAAGGACAAGGTAAAGGCCTTTTTCTATGCTAAGGATGAGTTCTACTATTATGTAATGATGCCTTTTGGGCTTAAAATGCAAGGACTACATATAAAAAAATGGTAAAGATTGTGTTCTGAGCTTAGATCGACAGGAATCTGAAAGTTTAAGTAGATGACATAGTAGTCAAAAGCTTCAAGGTAAAAGATCATCTGACCGACCTGGTTGAGACATTTGACAATCTAAGGAAGCATGGTGTGAGGTTGAACCCGACGAAGTGTGTATTTGGTGTTGAGTCCGACAAATTTTTGGGGTTCATGGTCTCACAAAGGGGAATAGAGGTCAACCCCAAGAAAATCAAAGCAATTGAGGAGATGGAGCCCCCAAGGTTAGTCAAGGATATGCAATGCTTAACTAGACGAGTTGTCATTTTGCACAGATTTATATTAAAATCAATAGACAAATGCCTATCTTTCTTTAAAGTCCTAAGGTCAGCAACTTAGAAGGATGAAGCTGGGAAACCAAAGAGATTTGAGTGGACTTTAGAATGTCAGGCAACATTCGATGAGCTCAAAAAGTACCTCAGTTCGCCATCTCTGCTAACAAAGGCTAAACAAGGCAAGATCTTTTACCTTTAACTTGGGATGTCAGACATGGCAATAAGCTCTATCCTAGTCGGAGAATCAAGGAAGCACCATAAACCAGTATATAACACGGGTAAGGTGTTGCAAGGTGCAAAACAAAGAGATTTAATAGTTGAGAAATCAGCTCTTACAATTATTACCTCAACTATGAAGTTGAGGCCATATTTTCAGTCTCATTCGATTATTGTGCTCATTGACTAACCCTTAAGGCAGATCTTATAAAAGTTAGAATGCTCTGGTAGGCTGATCAAGTAAGCGGTAGAGTTGGGAGAATTTTGTATCACATTTTAGTAGAGATCTGCGGTTTAAGCTTAGGCCCTAACAGATTTTGTGGTGGAATGCATTTCCAATCAGTCAAATTTAGATGCAAGGGAAGAACTGTAGACCCTCTATGTCGATGGATCATCTAAGGGTAAAAGGTCAAGCGTTAGGGCAATCTTGGTTGGGCTTGACAATTTCCAAAGTAAGCATGCATTGAAGTTCACTTTTGAGGCAACAAATAACATGGCAAAGTATGAGGCACTACTTTTGGGGATTTGTTTGGTAATCGAGCTGAAAATAAAGGCCATTCATATCTACAAAGATTCTTAGCTTGTGGTCAATCAAGTGAACACTATGTGTGAGGTGACAAATTCTACCCTCACAAAGTATGTAGCTATGGTTTCTCAATTCAAGAGCCAATTTGAGAAGTTTCATCTCACTAAGATCTGTAGAACAAAGAATGAACAAGTAAACTTCCTATCAAACTTAGCCTCTAACAGTTCTAGTGGAATAAAGTCAGTTTATGTTGAAATCCTCAATGAGCTGAGTTTTCAAAAGCCAAAGGTGAGGGAGATTAGCACTGACCCAGAAACTCCCAACTAGACAAATCCTATCAAAGCATACCTCCAAGATGGTACCGTCCTAGATGATAAACAAAAGGAGATGACGTTGTGAAAGAAGGTATCTCGATACACCCTTGTTGATGATGTCCTATACAAGAGGTCATACTCGTTCCCTCTCATTCGTTGTTTGACTTCATATAAGGCTGAGTATGCCCTTTACGAGGTACACAAAGGTGTATGTGGGAGCCATGCTAGAGCTTGAACTTTGGCCAATAAGGTGCTTTAGAAAGTTACCATAGGTCTAACATGCAAGCAAATGCAAAGAATTTTGTTCAAAAGTGCTAAAAATGTCAATTCTTTGCACATCTTACCCATCAACCAGTAAAGGAGCTCACTAATTTGATTGCACCATAGCTTTTCGCCCAATAGGGCATAGATCTTTTCGGCCCTTTGGTCCAGAGAGTAAGGGGAGTGACACATTTGGTGGTCACAATTGATTATTTTACAATGTGGGTAGAAGCTTAACCCTTCTTTAGCCTGACCTCAAAAAGGATTGTAGACTTTGTATTCAGCTTGGTTATTTATAGATATAGGATACCAAACCAAATCACTGCTGACAATAGCCCTTAGTTGAATTGCACCTTTTTAAACGACTTTTGCTCCAACTACGGGATGAAGCCAATATTTACCTCAGTATATCATCAACAAGCTAACGGGATGGTCAAATCTGTTAACAAAGCCATTCTAGAAGCCATCACACTAAGGTTAGATCAACTCAAAGCCAAGTGGGTAAACGAACTCAACAATGTCCTATAGGCATACCCAATATGAGTCAAACAGCCATAGGTGAAACATCTTATCACTTGGCTTTTGGGATCAAGGTAGCTATTCTTGTCAAAATTAGAGTGTCAAGCTTGAGAGTTAGCCATTTTGATCCAATGCGAAATGAGCAGCTACTCAGGGAAAACCTCGATTTTATGAACGAAGTCCACAAGGAAGCCCGGCTTCACACACTAGCATTTAAGTAGAAGTTAGCCAGCTTCTACAATAAGTGAATCCAACGTCGAAACTTCAGAATTGGTGACCTCATCCTCAAAAAGGCAAGACTCAGAGGCTTCGAAACTCGCTTCGGCAAATTAGCATTGAACTGGGAAAGTCCTTATGTAATAATCAAGGTACCCCACCCCAACACCTATATACTTCAAGACGCTGAGGGTAAAAGGGTTCCTTGAATATAGAATGTGAATAACTTAAAGAAATTTTATGCTTGAAGAACTGTGGCCTTGTTTTATCATTTATTTTACTCAAGTCTTATTAACATTATCTTAATGTTCGACATCGAGGTCGGACACTTGTCTTATTTCAACTTGTCTTATTTTAGTTTGGACTTAATTCAAAAAATCATCTACTAAATTTCAGTTTAATTTCAATTTCATCTATTATCTTTGAATTGTTTCAATTCTATCTATTATCTTTCACATTTATTTCAATTTCATCTAGGCAATTAAAGTTAACAGAAATCCAAACGAAAATCTTTTTAAACCTTAGTACTCTAACTATGTTTCTTTTAATCTTTTAGTCCTTAAATTTATATTCATAGTAAAAATAGTTTTTATTCTTATTTTGTTAAATGTGTTTTTCAGAAAATTGTTTTACAGAGCAGACTACTTTCAGTCCACCCTGTAAAATTATTTAAATACCTTTAATTCTATTTTTATATTATTTTTGTATGAACATTTAAATAATTTTATAAGACAGATTGTACACAATCTGTCCTATAAAACAGACTTACTCTTAAAATTTCTTATTCTGAACTTACTGAATTTCTTTGTCTGAATTGCAATCTATCTCTATAAACTATTTTTTAATTCATCATATTTTATTAGGATTTAAGTGTCACTTTTTTAAAACGCAAAGGACTGCTTTTTCTTCAAATCTAACGGTAATCTAACATCCTCTTTGTACGGTAGACTAATTTGAAATATTTTTCAAAGTTTCTAGATCATTTAGAAATGAAACAAACTTTCTAGACTAAACTAAAATTAAACTGAAAGTTAGTAGATGATTTTTTGAATTAACCTTTTAGTTTGTCTTATGATACTAACTTTTGATGCTAAGCTTAAAGGTCATGCATTCAAATATTAAAATCACATAAAAACAACATAAATTTCTCAAATTTAAGTATATTAATTAAGAAGAAAAATACAATTACAAAGTCCTAAATCTAGAATACAAAAATGGGAGAACAAGTTAGCCGAGCTTAATCAATGACTTGATGCTGCTAGTCCACCTCTTGGTCTGGGGCGTTGTCCGACACCTTGGTATCCTTGGGCACCTTAGCCTCCTCCTCATCAATAGCAACGAACTTGTACTCTAGCTTGAGTGGGAAAATAGTCTGTCCAGCCTCGTCTTGATCCCACTTCAACATTATTTCAGGTCGAAACTCAGTCATCTTACTATCTTCATCCTCTTCCACCCTTGTCTCTTGAGGTCCAAAGGTGATGTTAGTCATGTCCACCGCAGGGTTCTGAACCTTCACTTTCTTTCAACAGTCAATGAATGCCATCACCAATATAAATTGGCAATAAAGGTCCACCACTTCGAAGAACGTTGGAGATTTGATGAAGTTTGAGACATGTTGCTCCACCAAGTTATGGATAGCCAACACAGCCTTCTTCTTCACCTCTGCCAGCTCGTTCTCCCTCTTGCCAAAGTTTTCTTTACACTTCTTCCTTTTTTACTCCTTAAGCAATGGCCAACTCCTCCCTGAACTTCTTTAGCTTGAAGGTCAGATCATTGAAGTTCTATTTAGCGGCCTCTTCCTGCTAGTTAAGCTCATGGTTCCTATCAACCAACGTATTGCACTCCTTAAGACAATTGAAGTATTCAACTACTAAAGCAATTACCAAATTCGCTGTTTGCAAAAGTGAGCTAAATTTAAAAATAAAAAATAAAAAATAAAAAATAAAAAAAGAATAAGAAGAAGAATGAGAAGTGTGTTTTCCAGTTCTTACCTCAAAGGTGTGCTAAACTACACCAAATTTCATTAGCATGCACCTCATCCTTTGCCCTTTGCAAATCAACCTCCAGGAAGGTGGAGCTCATGAAACGTTTCGCAGCTGTCTTGCAAAAGTAAAAGAAGCTAGACTTCTTCTTTGGAATGGGAACAAAGTTTTTCCCCTTCCTATGCGTCACCACCCCCACCTCCCGTAAAGCTGGGTCAATCTGCACAAGTGGAAATTGGGGTGCAAACTCAATTGAGGCCTTAGACTCGAGCTACTATGTCTCCTTTGTTCTTCTCTTTTTCCAAGCTACAGCCTCTTCAACCCTTCTTTTCCTTTGCTCCGAGCTGGACCCTATTTTAGCTCAAGCTCCTCCACTATGGTGGGGTCTTAAAGTCCCACCCTCCACACTTTCCTCCACGACG